TGTAGCAATTTACAAGTTGAAGTTAAGCCGAGATTATTCCTTAATTCACTTGTTGAAATTTGTAGCAATTTACAAGTTGAAGTTAAGCCGAGATTATTCCTTAATTCACTTGTTGAAATTTGTAGCAATTTACAAGTTGAAGTTAAGCCGAGATTATTCCTTAATTCACTTGTTGAAATTTGTAGCAATTTACAAGTTGAAGTTAAGCCGAGATTATTCCTTAATTCACTTGTTGAAATTTGTAGCAATTTACAAGTTGAAGTTAAGCCGAGATTATTCCTTAATTCACTTGTTGAAATTTGTAGCAATTTACAAGTTGAAGTTAAGCCGAGATTATTCCTTAATTCACTTGTTGAAATTTGTAGCAATTTACAAGTTGAAGTTAAGCCGAGATTATTCCTTAATTCACTTGTTGAAATTTGTAGCAATTTACAAGTTGAAGTTAAGCCGAGATTATTCCTTAATTCACTTGTTGAAATTTGTAGCAATTTACAAGTTGAAGTTAAGCCGAGATTATTCCTTAATTCACTTGTTGAAATTTGTAGCAATTTACAAGTTGAAGTTAAGCCGAGATTATTCCTTAATTCACTTGTTGAAATTTGTAGCAATTTACAAGTTGAAGTTAAGCCGAGATTATTCCTTAATTCACTTGTTGAAATTTGTAGCAATTTACAAGTTGAAGTTAAGCCGAGATTATTCCTTAATTCACTTGTTGAAATTTGTAGCAATTTACAAGTTGAAGTTAAGCCGAGATTATTCCTTAATTCACTTGTTGAAATTTGTAGCAATTTACAAGTTGAAGTTAAGCCGAGATTATTCCTTAATTCACTTGTTGAAATTTGTAGCAATTTACAAGTTGAAGTTAAGCCGAGATTATTCCTTAATTCACTTGTTGAAATTTGTAGCAATTTACAAGTTGAAGTTAAGCCGAGATTATTCCTTAATTCACTTGTTGAAATTTGTAGCAATTTACAAGTTGAAGTTAAGCCGAGATTATTCCTTAATTCACTTGTTGAAATTTGTAGCAATTTACAAGTTGAAGTTAAGCCGAGATTATTCCTTAATTCACTTGTTGAAATTTGTAGCAATTTACAAGTTGAAGTTAAGCCGAGATTATTCCTTAATTCACTTGTTGAAATTTGTAGCAATTTACAAGTTGAAGTTAAGCCGAGATTATTCCTTAATTCACTTGTTGAAATTTGTAGCAATTTACAAGTTGAAGTTAAGCCGAGATTATTCCTTAATTCACTTGTTGAAATTTGTAGCAATTTACAAGTTGAAGTTAAGCCGAGATTATTCCTTAATTCACTTGTTGAAATTTGTAGCAATTTACAAGTTGAAGTTAAGCCGAGATTATTCCTTAATTCACTTGTTGAAATTTGTAGCAATTTACAAGTTGAAGTTAAGCCGAGATTATTCCTTAATTCACTTGTTGAAATTTGTAGCAATTTACAAGTTGAAGTTAAGCCGAGATTATTCCTTAATTCACTTGTTGAAATTTGTAGCAATTTACAAGTTGAAGTTAAGCCGAGATTATTCCTTAATTCACTTGTTGAAATTTGTAGCAATTTACAAGTTGAAGTTAAGCCGAGATTATTCCTTAATTCACTTGTTGAAATTTGTAGCAATTTACAAGTTGAAGTTAAGCCGAGATTATTCCTTAATTCACTTGTTGAAATTTGTAGCAATTTACAAGTTGAAGTTAAGCCGAGATTATTCCTTAATTCACTTGTTGAAATTTGTAGCAATTTACAAGTTGAAGTTAAGCCGAGATTATTCCTTAATTCACTTGTTGAAATTTGTAGCAATTTACAAGTTGAAGTTAAGCCGAGATTATTCCTTAATTCACTTGTTGAAATTTGTAGCAATTTACAAGTTGAAGTTAAGCCGAGATTATTCCTTAATTCACTTGTTGAAATTTGTAGCAATTTACAAGTTGAAGTTAAGCCGAGATTATTCCTTAATTCACTTGTTGAAATTTGTAGCAATTTACAAGTTGAAGTTAAGCCGAGATTATTCCTTAATTCACTTGTTGAAATTTGTAGCAATTTACAAGTTGAAGTTAAGCCGAGATTATTCCTTAATTCACTTGTTGAAATTTGTAGCAATTTACAAGTTGAAGTTAAGCCGAGATTATTCCTTAATTCACTTGTTGAAATTTGTAGCAATTTACAAGTTGAAGTTAAGCCGAGATTATTCCTTAATTCACTTGTTGAAATTTGTAGCAATTTACAAGTTGAAGTTAAGCCGAGATTATTCCTTAATTCACTTGTTGAAATTTGTAGCAATTTACAAGTTGAAGTTAAGCCGAGATTATTCCTTAATTCACTTGTTGAAATTTGTAGCAATTTACAAGTTGAAGTTAAGCCGAGATTATTCCTTAATTCACTTGTTGAAATTTGTAGCAATTTACAAGTTGAAGTTAAGCCGAGATTATTCCTTAATTCACTTGTTGAAATTTGTAGCAATTTACAAGTTGAAGTTAAGCCGAGATTATTCCTTAATTCACTTGTTGAAATTTGTAGCAATTTACAAGTTGAAGTTAAGCCGAGATTATTCCTTAATTCACTTGTTGAAATTTGTAGCAATTTACAAGTTGAAGTTAAGCCGAGATTATTCCTTAATTCACTTGTTGAAATTTGTAGCAATTTACAAGTTGAAGTTAAGCCGAGATTATTCCTTAATTCACTTGTTGAAATTTGTAGCAATTTACAAGTTGAAGTTAAGCCGAGATTATTCCTTAATTCACTTGTTGAAATTTGTAGCAATTTACAAGTTGAAGTTAAGCCGAGATTATTCCTTAATTCACTTGTTGAAATTTGTAGCAATTTACAAGTTGAAGTTAAGCCGAGATTATTCCTTAATTCACTTGTTGAAATTTGTAGCAATTTACAAGTTGAAGTTAAGCCGAGATTATTCCTTAATTCACTTGTTGAAATTTGTAGCAATTTACAAGTTGAAGTTAAGCCGAGATTATTCCTTAATTCACTTGTTGAAATTTGTAGCAATTTACAAGTTGAAGTTAAGCCGAGATTATTCCTTAATTCACTTGTTGAAATTTGTAGCAATTTACAAGTTGAAGTTAAGCCGAGATTATTCCTTAATTCACTTGTTGAAATTTGTAGCAATTTACAAGTTGAAGTTAAGCCGAGATTATTCCTTAATTCACTTGTTGAAATTTGTAGCAATTTACAAGTTGAAGTTAAGCCGAGATTATTCCTTAATTCACTTGTTGAAATTTGTAGCAATTTACAAGTTGAAGTTAAGCCGAGATTATTCCTTAATTCACTTGTTGAAATTTGTAGCAATTTACAAGTTGAAGTTAAGCCGAGATTATTCCTTAATTCACTTGTTGAAATTTGTAGCAATTTACAAGTTGAAGTTAAGCCGAGATTATTCCTTAATTCACTTGTTGAAATTTGTAGCAATTTACAAGTTGAAGTTAAGCCGAGATTATTCCTTAATTCACTTGTTGAAATTTGTAGCAATTTACAAGTTGAAGTTAAGCCGAGATTATTCCTTAATTCACTTGTTGAAATTTGTAGCAATTTACAAGTTGAAGTTAAGCCGAGATTATTCCTTAATTCACTTGTTGAAATTTGTAGCAATTTACAAGTTGAAGTTAAGCCGAGATTATTCCTTAATTCACTTGTTGAAATTTGTAGCAATTTACAAGTTGAAGTTAAGCCGAGATTATTCCTTAATTTACTTGTTGAAATTTGTAGCAATTTACAAGTTGAAGTTAAGCCGAGATTATTCCTTAATTTACTTGTTGAAATTTGTAGCAATTTACAAGTTGAAGTTAAGCCGAGATTATTCCTTAATTTACTTGTTGAAATTTGTAGCAATTTACAAGTTGAAGTTAAGCCGAGATTATTCCTTAATTTACTTGTTGAAATTTGTAGCAATTTACAAGTTGAAGTTAAGCCGAGATTATTCCTTAATTTACTTGTTGAAATTTGTAGCAATTTACAAGTTGAAGTTAAGCCGAGATTATTCCTTAATTTACTTGTTGAAATTTGTAGCAATTTACAAGTTGAAGTTAAGCCGAGATTATTCCTTAATTTACTTGTTGAAATTTGTAGCAATTTACAAGTTGAAGTTAAGCCGAGATTATTCCTTAATTTACTTGTTGAAATTTGTAGCAATTTACAAGTTGAAGTTAAGCCGAGGTTATTGCTTAAGTTCTCATAGCAATATGTGGGTTGTTTAAACCCTAAGGAAGATGCTTAACACTTGTTGAAATTTTAGCAATTTACAAGTTTATGTTAAGCCGACATATGATCACCAGCCGAGGTATACAGAAACTTACAAGTTGAAGTAAAGGCTAAGTATATTGTTTGATCATCTGTTGAAATTGGCAGCAATTTACAGGTTAAAATAAAGGCTAAGTATATTGTTCATTACTTGTTGAAATTTGTAGCAATTTACAAGTTTATATTAAGCCGACATATGGTCACCAACCGAGGTATACAGAAACTTACAAGTTGAAATAAAAGCTAAGTATATGGTTTAAACACTTGTTGAAATTTATTTACCACTTAGAAAAGTTTACAGTATATGTTAACACTTGTTGAAATTTGTAGCAATTTACAAGTAAGTCAGACCGAAGTCCCTGTTTAATACTTGTTGAAACTTGAGAAGAAGCCTGCAAAGTTTACATTGAGTAATATATGTTTTATACTTGTTAAAATTTATGAAAAGTTTGCAGGTCAGTATCTTGCCGAAGTAAAAGTTTTGTAGCTATACCCGAGGTATGTAACCCCGAGAAGATTGCACAAATGATGCAACATGAAGAAGCATACAAAAAATTTCTACGTATAGAACTGTGCAGAAGCAGTCAATAGAACATCACAAGATTAAAAAACATCTATAGAAAGAGTAGTTGTAGTTACATATTGAAAAAGTTACATCAGCCACAAAAAAGAGTTTTACATTGTCTAGAAACTAAAAAAGTACAAAGTACAGAAAAAAGAAGGAACAACGTACAAAAGACATTATCAAGACTCCTCAGTACTAGCCGCTGCAAGGATTGGGACCTCAGACGATTCTGGAAGAACCTCCTCGGCCACTTTTTCCGCTTGTATCTCGGCATCAATCTCTGCTAATGTTTTCTCAACACTTCTTTCTACCAAGAGAAGATCGGACGATAGCTGCCCAGTGACAATTTCCTTGGTTGCCCCCTCAACCTCATCACCCTCCTCATCCAAGGTTAAGTCCATAACCTGCTCAGCAGAAGGAGGGGACTTGGCTTCAGCACCATCCTTCGATTTCCTTACCAAGGCTTCGTCATCATTTTTCTCCTCATCCCCATCCTCATCCTCAGCATCTGCCTCAGTCTCTGATTCGCCTTCAGGAAGAGGTGGAGGAAATGGTAAAGGAATAGCGTCGGCCTGGCGCAATGGCGAGTCAGTAGGAAGATCAAGCTTCTTTATCAGGGACATCCAACCAAGGGAAAATCCCCTGTTGCATGCCTGCCTGACTTGAAGTTTGTAGTCCTCTGCGACGTCGGCCATGCCCTGGGCATAGGCCTTTTCGTCGGCCTCTTTGACTTCGGCCTCTTTGGTGGCCAGAGCTTGCTGGAGCTCTCTCTCCGCTTGGGCCTTCTTAGCCTCAGCCTCTCTTTTCTCGGCCTCAGCAACTTTTTTAACGGCCTCAGCGGATTCGGCCTTCTCAAGAGCTAAAGTTTGGGCCTTAATAGCCACCTCGGCCTGATCTTCTATTTTTTTCATCCTTGATTCAGGAGATCTGATCTCCTTCTTCATGGAAGATGCTTCCCTCTTCATATCAACCAATCTTTGCCGGTTTTCAAAAGATTGCATTGAAAATGAATGGGCATGCTGAATGGCCTAAGGAAAAACAGAAGTGTTAGAAAATATTCTCAGTAGGAAACAGAAGGCAAAATCGCAAGTGCAAACAGGAACACTTACTTGAACGGAGTGTTGGAGCATGAGAGCGTAATTCTCATACTCACTAAGCTTAGCATTTCGCTCCAAATCATTTGGAAGGAGAAGAGCAGTGCTGAGGGCGACACCAACGTTAATATCGTCGGCACTTTCACTGGCCATGATAGGCCTATCCTCCAGAGTTAGTTCAGGAGCCCATGGAATGTCGGGCTTCTTTGACGCCGAGGTCGTCGCGGACGATGACCTTGGCCTCTTAGATTGTGTAGACCCTGAGGGTTGGCCCTCAGCAGATCTCTTGGTGGCAGCAGAGGTTGATTTTTTGCTTTCTGCCAGTTTACAAATAGGCATAGCATCCTCAGCCTCGGCATCTGTAGCCTTGGCCTTGGGCTGAGCCTTTTTAACTCTCTTTGGCTGTGGTGGGGGCATTGATTGCGTTGGTACAGCTTCGGCGTCAGTTGGAAGGTCGGCAAGAAGATCTTGAACGACAGGCCTTGGACGAACCATGGCAGTTTTTACTAGTCTACGTCGGCGTTTGCGTTCGGGAATTGGTATTAAGTAGGTGGCCGAAGTGGACGGAAGATCGGCTGGGTCAGAGGTGGATTCTTGGTCTGTTCGTGATGTAGAGGCAGTTTGAGCTATGGCAGTAGGCGGGGAGAGGCTTTTCTTCTTTGTCTTCGGAACGTCGGGCAATGTGGATTTGTACGTGGGGATGAAGTTTAGTAGCAGTGGAGCTTTCCGTTTGTGGATAGGAAGGTCAAGGAGTCTTTTCAGATCTTTTCCTGGGAAAAAGGATTGGCGAAAATTTTTTGGTAGCTGATGAAGATAAAAAAAAAAAAAAAAACAGACATCAGAAACAGAAAGTATTAAAGACTTAGATAAAAACAACTAAGTGTTGGCTCAGGGATCTTACCCTTGCCCTCTGAAATTGTTCGAGGAAGAGAGTAGAGGTGGACATCTTCGTCTGGGCCAAATTCCTAATTTCCCGACGCAATAACAAAGTCATCTCCAGCCCCCTTGTTGGAGTCTGGAAGGTCGGCTACAATTTTAAACTGGGTAGATCTCGGCTTAAGGTAATAAACGAAGCCCCTATCCTTCAGGTTGAGGGGACACATGGTATAGCAGTACTGAAGGTCGGCCAGGGTGATTCTAAGATTCTCCTGCCTAGCTAAAGCTATAATACCGTTAATCACCCTATAGGAGTTGATAGTAAGTTGCATGGGGTTCAGCCTGTAGAAATAAAGAACTTCACGAAAAAGGGGATGAAGTGGAAGCCGAAGTCCACATTCGGTAAAAGCTACTATAGGAAAAGGCATTGTATGATCTGTGGGCATGATGGTATCATTATCCCCAGCTAGCTTAAGGTGAACATCGGCTGGGATAGAGAATTCCTGCCTAAAGTATTCAAGTTTTGTTGGGGTATTTACCCTATGCCTCCACATACCCATTACGTCGGTCTAAACAAAAAGGAGTGTGTTTCAGAAGATGAGCGTTTTAGAAGGATTGCAAAAACCTCGCCAAAGGCCTAGGAAAGGACTGATAAAGCTTGTTTCGGTTTTTCCTAAAATTTGAAGGTTCTACACACAAATCCCAAGCCTAAGAACTATAAAGATCAAGATCGAAGGCACAGATCTAAACAAGAAAACAAAGGCGACGCTTCAGAATCAAAGAACAGAGGTATGATTTTCAGAAGCAAAAGAAATACAGAAGTAAAAAAAAAAATCAAACAGTGGCAAAAAAAAGTGATAAAATAATGCAAGTGTTCAAGATGTAGCCATGATTCAAGATACAAACAGATCCAAGGCTTTGAACAAAAGCGATAA